AGATTCGTCGAAGTTAAATGAAGATTAACAACAAATAGGTCAAAATGATATGCAACAATTTTCGTGAACAAAACTCGAAACTACTGAGATTTGTTAGGTTTTGATTGAGTGAATGGAACTGACCACAATACACAATGCACCAATGCGCACAATCTCCATGAAGAATCACCGGTTCATTGTTTTTATCACAGTCGTACGGTATCAATACAGCACTATCAGCTCTCAACAACTCCTCCGCTTCCAACAAATCCCGAATTACACCTCGTAGGCTGGCCATATCGTAACAGCCAATTCCACTGAAATGATCTCTGAAATGATTTCACTCTGTAATCGAGCTGAGTCTTGCATCCAATGCTGCATTCAGACTCTGAACTGTCACCTGGTGTAGAGTCTCGAATTTCCCTACAGGATTGAATGGAATCCTCGAAAATGAACCAGTCATTTGTCTGTAATTGCGAAACGTGGATGGAACGGATGAAAAATGAAATGGAATTCAATTTCTCGAATTCGATTGATAGAGAATATTCGATATTATCGATGACATGTTAAGTAGAACCGTCCAAGAGATTGGTGGTAAACTAAGATTGTCACCATTTCGTTATGCAAACAGCTATGACCATTTACTGATTTTGATCATTGATTCAGTTGAATTTATATGGATTAGAAAGTGAATCAAAAACCTGAGAACATTTCCCCTCGACTAGTGAAACCTTTTTGCTGAGCTATCTTGAGAATATGTTCTACATCAACAGCAGGTAATCGTAACGATGTGGCGGCCATTTGAAGTGTAACCAAACCGCACCTTTAATTTATTGTTCAGGTGCCATTGAATCTTTGATAATGACTCCTCTAGAGATGATGCAATTTCCCAATTACTCCAAATATGCAGCTGAATTATTGTCACTGACAGTTAACACTGAACTAAAAGATTCTGCAGAATTTTTAAACATCAGATCAACTTTTCAAATGAACCTACGTGCTCACGATTAGCTGCAACTTATTGCAAGCATAAACTTAATTCCGATTATAATTTTGTAATTTCACTCGTTCGCAGAAGGTAAATGAGAAAGCCTTCTCACTATGTGCATGTTCGGTTAAGTTATCAATCGAATCTCCCTCCCATCCCCATTATTTTCATGTATTCATTTGATCAGCGTCTTCACTTTGATTCAACGTGATCGTTGCCTCTACTTCTGAATCTGAGCGAATAAATCTTACTGAGGTCCGTTCTGTAGTATCGATACCACACTGTCACGTAAATATGCGATGGCTCCAGATCCGGATTCCGCCTCTTCTGACTGAGCTGATGAAAACTGCTCGATTACACGGCTCAATCGATTCTCAAAGACGTTGCTTCGTAGGGTATTGCTCATCATTATCATCAGCAATAGAAGGTTGAAACGACTCTTCTTTGGGCGACCAACAAATCATAGGATTCTCGCAATGCAATCGGATGTAATATCTTGATGGGATTCTAAAAAGTGAAACAAACTGCTTCTTTAAAAAATGTGAAAACTTTTTTTTNTTTTTTTTGAAACAATGTCGAATACTGTTGTACGGAATGATCTCCGAATGTCGAGCACGATTGTTCGAGTGAGGCTGTAAGCAAGCGTTGATTGGCCTGCTTGTAAATGTTCACCTAAAAGTGAAGCCGAAGCGTGTGGTGTGTGCCTGAGCCAACTCGAACTTTTCCACATTCTTCAGCTAGCCGCGAAAAAAATGCTGCAAATTTTATTCATTTGAATTGTGATATTTTGAATTGTGAAATTTAGATACGTAAAAATTTTCCAGAGAGAACGAAACTTCAGCTTTTATTCTGCTTTCTCTCTCGGGAAACATTCAATAAATTGGATTCAATCACTTGCGCCTTTCAATGATTAAATTTCATTTAAATTATTCAGTTTTCTAAAAGTTTCACTGATTGTGAGATTAATGTTTAAGTATTCTTTCTCTTAAATAATTGAGAAATTGAAACGCTCAATCAGTGTACTGCTCTATCATCGAAATTAAACCACTTTTTTGAGTGAGGCGAGCATTGGGCCAGTTAAAAGAAAGCATTCATCAAATTATTCATATGTTCACTATCTTCTTTGATCGAGTGGAAGGAATGAATGAAATTCCTGTTCCATTCTAACATTTCAAATCTTTTCTATGATTTATCACGTTTCATAAAAGTTAAGCTTATCACTACCCATTGCGAACGTATACTATGAACTCAATTCAATAGCATTTGATTACGATTCCGTGAAAACCACGGTCAAGTCAAACATAACAAATGCTCAAATGAATATAATCAAATCTAAGTTCGCGACAATAATTTCGTTGTTACCACTATTTCAAATGAACAAAATATCTCCAATTTTATTACGATTGCGTTATTTTAGAGAGTACACAAGTGATTCAGCTGAATGTTGTGTGAACAAAAAATATTGATGAACATCAAACATATTTCACTCGACTGATAACGACAACACAACGCTAAAATTTCTTTCGTTTAATAGTGTTCTTCCAAATTCCACTTAAATAAATTGTTGTGATTAGGCAGGAATAATGGTGATAACGATCTGATAACAAAATCTTCAGATCGCTCGAATATAAATGAGTTTTGATAAGTTTTAACCATCAAATGATGAGAGTTTTAAACTTTTACAAAAATAAACATACTAAACGTAAGATCACTTATATATGTAATATTTTTACAATAATTTTGCGAAAGCATCAGAGACGAATGCATTAGAATGAATTTGTTTCATTGGTGATGATTTCTGGTCAACTTTGTCCGAATATACGAGCCATACGAGCAGACTTACGATTGATTCTTTTTCCGAGCAATTCCTAGGCAACTTTTATAGGACTTGAGTTCGGTTTTGGTGTGCGATTATTGACCTCATTAGAAGGATGGATGGACGGATGGTGAGTTAAGGAAAGGAAGTGTAATCGACAACGAGGAACGATATGAATATAGCAAATGTGATCATCATTAGAGTGGAGATTTAAATGCGTAGTAATAATCTCCGAGAGATGATGAGATGGATGATGTTTGCTCGATAGAATGCTGCCCTTAGCAACGATTATTGCGGGCGACGTACACAGTGCAATAATAGTAGCACTTGTGAACTAGTGAACAACGAACACATCGTCTTTCTCACGATTTTTTTATCAGTTAAATTACGACGATTAGTTACGATTTATTCATTAACTTATGTCTTATAGTTTTCGAATTTATTCAGCGGGATATTTCGGATTTTTGAGCAGTAGTTTAGAAAAAAAATTTGTAGAGAAATATTGAAACTTGGTCAGTTGATCTGATTCAGTTGATGATTTTTAATTGGATATGAAGTGAGCTGATTTATTTCATCGTTTAATGATGGAACTACTGCTGGATTAAAGCTGCTGATTTGATTATGTCTAGCGTGATTTCTTAATGGTGTCGATGGAATGATGCAAAATTTTGTCAGGAAGAAGAATTTTATTTTTTGAATGGAATTGGTGAACAATTCAGTGGGATTAGCGAAGTTTGCTGCTTGGTTGCGCGATATTTTTCAAATTGTTTATCCATTTTTAGTTCAACCTATCCATGGATACTGTTATGTTCCAATAAGCCATCAAGGTGTTCTTGAGAATATTTTTGTTTTTTTGGCAAATTTTAGAGTGTTAATCGTAATATTGGTAGTGTAACGATGTAACACGATTCTTTAAATGCAAATTTTGAGACATTACTCATATTAAGAACTAAAAAGATTTGTTGAATTGCTTTGGAATCGTTCATTCGTTTGTGAAGTGACTCGTTTCGATTGGGTTGTTGAACGGTTGTGTGGAAGGAAAATTGCGATTCTGTTTCCATTCTCATTTTGATACTCGGAATTCTTTGTGTTTGTCCATAAAAAATGCCTTTTCTAAGCCACAAAATTCCATCTAAATTATCCAAGAATCGACTGATCGATACAATTCGCTCGTTGAAATTTCTAAATTTCTGTAAAAATGGTAAGCCGAACCGTTCAGATTGGAACAATCTTTTGTTAAGTACAGAAGGCGGTTTTATCATTGTGTGCCTACAGATGCTTTTCATCATTCTTATTTCTTTAAGTGATTCCGTTTCTGTGCCTGAATTATCTGCAATATAAGGTTATCGAATGCCTTTATCACACAACAAGGTCTCGACTGTCAAAAATAAAGTTTTCTGAACTTTTTGATGGAATCCAAA